TGAAAACGCCCTCACCAGTGTTAGTGGTGCTGGTAAGAGCAGACACCACTAGCACCTGGGAAGAGGCTCCATGTGACCTGAAGAGCAATGTCATAAAGTTAAAATTCAGACACAGCGGGTGTCCAAATACCAGAATTGCAATTTGAACTGTCTTCCAGGGACACTTGGCGGTCTTGTGACGACAGTCGAGGGGCTTTTCACGCACTGTCAGATCAGTGAAGGCTTGAAGAGTGTGCATGGATTTTTTTTTTTTTTTTTTTTTTTTTTTTTTGTGGGCGTGTGCATAGATTTGGCTTCGGGGACAACGCGCATGAGTCACAGAAAAGCAGAGATGGGAGGATTTTGATAGGAGGCGCTGCGTGATCTTTCTTTGGACATTAGCTAAGGGTGAGATCCCACTGGCAAAGAGGATAATTGTTGTGTCCGAATGTGGACGCGTTGGAGGTCAGGTGCGAAAAATTGTGGTTGTTCCACTTTTCTGCATCTGTGCGTGGAACCCCTCCAGATTCAGACACTTATTCCAATCCTCTTTCAAATTGGCAGTTGGATCTGGCCCTAAGATGCCATGACGTTGATCCTTCACGTCATTGAGATCCCCACTTGCAACCCCTTTTTTTTTTATAGCACCTGTTACGCATGTCATGGCGGACGACAAGAGGCTGACGATCAAGGAATTGGAAAGGACTTACAAATCAAATTGAGGATCAGGTCAAAGGAAAAAAAAAAAAAAAAAAAAAAAAAAAAAAAAAAAAAAAAGGAGGATCTGGGGCACAGTAACTGAGATGGACACAAGCGCAGCAGACGGGCTGCATACCATCAGAGTAGCAAAGAGCAACAGTTAATGATCCAAAGCCCGGGCCCCATAAGTTTAGGGTGGCCTCTTGGAATGTACGTGGCCTAGGGGAGTCTAAGGATAGACAAAAGTGGTCCAAACTCCAGACTAATGTCTTTTTTTTTTTCTTTTTTTTTAATTATTTAGACTAAAGTCATGGATTCACCAGCAAAAAGTTCAGGTCATGTTACTCCAGGATACCAAACTAAATGATGAGAAAATTGCAGACAACTTGTGCAAATGGGCCCTCAATTTTGGGCCCCTGCAGATGGTGCTAGAGGGGTACCGCCATTTTAATTCAGAAAGGCCTACAGGCTTTTAGAACTGACAACTTCTCAGATTCTTTAGGGAGATGGGTGTGGGTCACAATGAATATAGACGGCATAGCATGGTTTTGTGCATCCATCTATGCCCCAGTGGACAGGGGTGAAAAGGGATTATTTTTTGAAGCCTTAGCCCATGTGTTACGGGATTCACAAAACTTGGTGTTGGGTGGGGATTGGAACACAGTCCTTGACCCAGTGCCGGACTCCTCGAGGTCCGATGGGTTATGAAGGGACTCATTGGCATTAGGGGAATTTGTGAAATATATGGGCTTGGTAGACCCATTGATGCAGTTACGCCCCACGACTAAGAGATATACATGGGTCTCACACAACCCATGACAGGATCGCTCTTACACCAAACTACGTTTGGATTTTTTCCTGTTAAGAAACAAGCCGGCTGAATTGGCTATGGAAGTGAAAATGTCGTTTGACTCACTATCGGATCATCGGTCTATCCTTGTCACTTTTGTGCCAGATAAGCATATAGTCAGAGGGCGGGGGTTTTACAGGCTTAACACAACCCTCTTGAGCGATGCAAGACTCGTGGCATCCATCAGAAAATCAATTACCAAATTAAGGAATATGCATGATTTCTACGAGTCTGAATTGGACTGGTTGGAACTTGGACGGTACAAATAGAATGGCGGTTATAGATCTGAACTTTGCTTCCAGGGCCAAA